ATCTTCTAAGTGTTCTACTCTGCTGGTAGTATTCTCCATTGAGTTTTTAAGTTGGTTTATTGCTTCCTGCATTTCTAGGATTTCTGTTTGTTTGTTTTTTATAACCTCTATCTCCCTGTATAGTTGATCCTTTGCTTCCTGGATTTGTTTGCGTAATTCATTGTTGAAGTGATCTTTCAATGTCTGATTTTGCTGTTTAATGTCTTCTTTGATACTCCAGATCATCTGAAGCATGTACATCCTGAATTCTTTATCTGACATTCCATCTGCTGCAGCAATTACCTCTTCTAGCATTGAGTTGACCTGCATTGCTTGTGGTCCTTTCTTTCCTTGTCTCTTCATACTATTCGCGTTCCTTTCTACTTGGTGAAACTGTTGTGCTACTGAATTTTCCCCCTATATATTTATATTGGTCTTGTATAGTTGCAAAGTCTCCCTCGCAGGTGCGGGCGGCAGCTCTGCCCCTCCTCCAATTGGGGCAATGTGCCTACCACGCCGGCAGGCCGCTGGGCCTGCTCTGCCGGTCGGTAGCAGGTCCGCCTACCTTGCAGCCGCGGGCGGCGGCTCTGTCCCTCTGTGGGCCGCTAGGCTTGTTCTGTGGGTGGTCGCAGTTCTGCCTACTTTGCAGGCGCAGGCAGCGGCACTGCCCCTCTGCAGGCCTCTGGGGCTGTTCTGCCAGTGGGTCGCAGGTCCGCCTACCTTGCAGGCGCGGGGGGGGGGGAGGCTCTACCCTTCCTCAGGCCACTGGGCCTGTTCTGTCTGTCGGTTGCAGGTCTGGCCTGTTCTGATGGTGGTCACAGTTCCGTCTACCTTGCAGGCGCGGGGGGAGGGGGCGGCTCTGCCTCTCAGCAGGCCGCTGCTCCTCTTTGCTGGTGGGTCGCAGGCCCGCCTACCTTGCAAGAGTGATTGGAAGCTCTGTCCCGCCGCGGGCCACTGGGCCTTTTCTGTGGGTGGTCACAGTTCCACCTACTTGGCAGGCGCGGGGGGTGGGGGGCGGCTCTGCCCCTCAGCAGGCCGCTGGGCCTGCTCTGTGGGTGGTCACAGTTCCCTCTACCTTGCCTGCGCAGGGGGAGGGGGCGGCTCTGCCTCTCAGCAGGCCGCTGCTTCTCTTCTGCCGGTGGGTCGCAGGCCCGCCTACCTTGCAGGAGTGATTGGAAGCTCTCCATAATGTTCTCTATACTTATTCATGTTGTTAACAAATGGTAGAATTTCCTTTTTTGTTGTTTTTTTTGAGACTGAATAGTATCCTATTGCATATATACACTAGATTTTCTTTACCTACTTGTGTAGGTTGATTCCATTTCTTGCCTATTAAGAATAAATGCTAAATGAACATGTATGTGAGATGTCTCTTTGACATACTGATTTCATTTTCTCTGGATATATACCCCGTAATGAGATTGCTGGATCATATGGTAGCTCTCTTTTTAACTTTTTGAGGAACCTCTATACTATTTTCCGTAATGGCTGTACTAATTTACATTGCTACCCAGTGTCCCCTTTTCTCCATATCCTCTATACCTCTTCATGTCTTTTGTCTTTTTTGGTAATAGCCATTCTAACAGGTATGAGGTGATATCTCATTGTGGTTTTAATTTGCATTTCTCTAATAATTAGTATTGTTGAGCCTTGTTCATATACTTGTTGGCTATTTGTACAGCTTCATTGGCTTGTTCAGATCCGTGCCCATTTTTAATTGGGTTACTTGCTTTCTTATTATTGAGTTGTTTGAATTCCTTATATATTTTGGATATTAACTTATTATCATATGGTTTACAAATATTTTCTTCCATTCCATAGGCTGTTTCTTCACTCATTGTTTCCTTTGCTGTGCGGAAGATTTTAGTTTGATACCATCTCACCTGTCTATTTTCACTTTGGTTGTTTGTGTTTTGGGGTTCATATTCAAACATTCATTGCCCAGGCTAATGTTATCAAGCTTTTCTCCTATATTTTCTTCTAGCAGTTTTATAGTTTCAGATTTTGCATTTTAGTCTTTAAACCATTTTGAGTTCATTTTAGTTTTGTAGTTAAGTTTTAAAACCAACTAGTGGTAGTCCTCCAAATTTTTGGATCAGTTTCTTGATAGCTATTAAAAACCCTTGTGGAATATTTTATAGAGTTTCATTGAATTAACTGAAAACACAGGGTTGATGATCACCACGGTGGGCCCTATGGGCCATTTTGAGGACTTTGGTTTTTTTTATTCTAAGTGAGAAGGGAATCCTTTGTAGAACTCTCAGCAGGTAAATATGACTTTGTCATGTTTTTAAAAGAATTATCTTGGCTTTTTCAGGGAGAAAACATTATGGAAGCAGCAAGGATAGAAGCAGAGAGAGCATCAGGAGGCAACTGCAATAAGCTAGGTAGCAAAGACTGTTGCTCATAGCAATGGATCAAGGTAGAGGTGATGAGGGATAGAGAGTTGTGCCCATATTCTAACATAGACACAGCAGTACTTACTGTTCAGTTGCCTGTAAAACTCAAAGAGGAGGCAAGTTCTATACCAATTTTTATTTTTTATACTTTTTGATCTGAGCCACTAGAGGAAAATGAATTTTTCATTTATTAAGATATGTTATACAAATGGAGCAAAATTTTAGGCATTTAATTTTGAGATGTCCATTTGGCATTCAACTGAGGCTAATGAGCAGGCAGGCAGGCAAGTAGGGCACCAAGCCTAGAATTCAAGGGAGGGATGTAGGGATACAGATTTGAGAAATCTTAGCAGTATATTTTTGATGATATTTCCCATTCATTTTCTCTTTCTGAAATTTTTATTAATCAGATTTGGCTTCTTTTATACCAGCTTTCTTAATCTCCATGTTTACTTTTATATTTCCAGTTTCTTAAGTTTTTTTGGTTCAATTTTTTGGACTTTCTGTTCCATCCATTTATCTGCTCATTTGTATTTTGTTACAATGGTATAATTTTTCAGGTTTTCTGCTTTTGATTTCTCCTTTAGTATTCTGCTCTGGTTTTGTCAAATTGAGAGTTCTTGATATCTCTCTGAAGATATTAATTGGTATCTTTAAAGTTTTCCCCAAGTACCTAAGTCATCTTTTGAGTTTGTGTGAGTGAGTCAGTTTAGAGAGCTTTCTTCAAGGGAGAGTTGTTTAGTGACCCCTGATATTCATGAATACAAGTAAAATATTAAGAATCTTTTAAGAAGCTGTAATAGGCTGAATTTTTGTGCCATGTTTCAGGTGTTGAGTTCCAAATCCCCCAGTACCTCTGAATGTGACAGTATTTGGAGAGAGGTTATAAAGAGGTAACTTAGTTAAACTGAGATAATTAGAAAAGGTCTACTCCTATATGATGGGTGTCTTTACAAGAAAGGAGATTTGTACATCCAGGGTGAGGGAAGACCAAGTAAAGACAAAGGGGGAAGGGGGCCACGTTTAAGACAAGAAGAGAAGACTCAGAAGAAATTATCTCCAAATTCCAGCATCCAGAAGTGTGGATGTTGGACATTTCTGATGTTTAAGGCACACAGTCTATATTATGCTGTTACAGCAGCCCCAGAAAACTAGTGTGGAAGTTTTCAGGCATGGGGCTGTCTTTGCTTTTACTAGAGAACTTCATTGGTGGTTATTCCCTTCTCTCATATACATAAACATGTGGTTTTAGCAGGTAGCTGTCATTCAATATCTCTAGAGATGATTCTTCCAACTTCTTCCCAAGAGGCATACACCTAGCTAGGCAGAGGCTTGATGGCCCAGCTATTCAAAATGCTAACTCTTCCCTCACCCTCTGCAATCTTACATCCTACTCTCCCCTTCTGTCCCATCTGGTGCTTCTGAGTTCAGGTTTTATTTACCCTTTCGCTTTCATAGGAGATGTCGGGGCTGGCAGTGTTGGGGAGCGGCAGTTGGCATCTCTGCACAAGAGCAGGGGAAGGTGGTATATGAATGCACACCTGGAATTTCAAGCCGTCCATATGCTTTTTGGCTTTAAGTCTTACCTTTGTCACATGTCCTGAATTCTCTGATGCAAATAAGTCTTCTCACTGGTGGTCCTCTGGGTAGGCTCCCACATCAGCCACCACTTCACCATCTCTTTTCTCTTTTACATCATCTGAAAATGTGAATAATCCTCTCCCTTTCTTGCTGAGTCATATCTTTTTTATTCTTCTTGTAACTGTTTCATTGAAATCACATGTTTGAGAAGAGGTATAGGAATGTACTCAATCTATCACTTTCAGCTGTTTAGGAAACTTTTGGGAAAAAAAGAATAATAAAGTGATCATAAATGTTTTCCTACTAGGAATAAATAATAAGAAGAAGTTAGATAAGAGTTAGAGTTAATAATAGAATTACAGTTAAAATTTATAGTTAATAATAGATATGATGAAATAAAAATTTGAAAACTATTTTTTTAAATGGTACTGAATGGAGTTAGCTGCATTTAATCTCTTTGCAATTTTATTACCTGTCAAATAATAGAGTAGGATTGAGTAACTGGTTCCCCACTGGGAGTTATTAGAATAAGCTTGGGTGCTTGTTGATAATCCAGATCACTGGCCACAAACCCAGAGACTGAAGTTCCATAGATCTGGGGTAGAAAGTATAAGGTTAAATAATCTCTTGACACTCTGGGCACTTGGATATTCTGTGAGTCTGAAAATTTCATTTTTGTTGCTTTATTTTCTTTTTAGCTGGGAAGTCTTTCATGAATGAAAAATATTCTGACTATTTGGACCCATTTAAAGCCTTAAATTGAACCTCAATCTTGCATATGAATATCACTAATTAATAAGTAAAATTATATAGTTGATTTAGTAGCTGGGAGGGCTAAGAAGGGGTTTAAAAGGATGACACGAAATTTAAAAAAAAATTAAAATATATTTTTATATTTGGAAAGTGATACTCTGCTTTTTTAAAAAATAACTTCTCAAATAAAATGCAAAGCTTTTTTTTTTCCTTATCTCACACAATGCACAGGAAACAGAATTTATTTTCTACCACACACAAAGCTCACTCATCAGGGTGGGAGTTGCGGGTGGAGGGAAGGCTGTCATGAGAATTTCAAGTTTATACAAAAGGCTCCTGGGTTTAAAAAGGTTGGAAAGCACTGTAGTAGTGAGATGGATTGGTTTTTGAAGAAAAGTGAGAAAAGAAAACCATTAAGTCCAACTGTCACTCTTCCAACTAAATATTGAAACCACTTGGGAAAAAATTGAGTGAAGTTTATAGTCATAAGCAACTTTGGTGTTTTTGAGGTTTACCTGTGAACCTCCATTTAGCTCTACCAGAGGCTTCTAGAGATGCAATGAATTGCCATGTTTTAAGACTTTCAAAAATGTTAAGTTGCCTGTTCAACTGGACTAACTCATTAAAAGGTTTCAGTTCAGTTGATTTGGAGGACTGTATGCTGCATTGTGCTTTGTGGATACAGAACTCAAGAGACTGGGATCTCTGGTCTTTCACAGTTATGGTATGTATGAACTGAACAGATCTCTTAGTATTTTGTCTATAAGTCTTTGTATATCATACTCTGCATGCAAGAGTGATTCAGCTCAAAATTGGTCACCTATGGACTGTGGAGGCTCATTTGACTTACTGATTTGGCCACCAAGGTAAGCATCTTCTACTTCCTTTCTTCTCTGTAACAATGATGACCCAGGACATTGAAATCCAAAGTGGTATTTTTATTTACTGTAGTGATAAAAGTAATGGTAGTAGTTGTCTTGTTCTAGAACATTCCTTCATGTAAGAGGTAAGCTTGATTAGAGTAGAACATCAATATTAGAAACCATGGGTCTACAAACAAGAAAGTTGATTTCAAGCCTGGCTTCTCCCAGTTTTGTGGACTGGGTCAGGATGGTTGAAGATTTCTAAGCCTTTGTGTCTTTTTCTTGAAAAGCTAGTAGCAAGGGGTTCTGGGGATTGCTTCTCCCTACTCCCACCACCAGACACTCTGCAGGAATAGAACAATTCTCTCAGTAGCTATTTTGAAATATAAGTATCCAAATGTATAGAATGTTTGCAACTTATTTGTGAAATTGAGATCAAAAGAGCTATCTGATAGAATTGTTTTCAGAAACAAAAGAAATAAATTTTTTTCTCAAACAGTAAACATCATGCTTGGCATTTTGTCCTAAAGATAACTGTAACACTAAAGTTTTAAACAAAATAATGCTACTGAAAATGTAAAGGATAGGTAGGAAGCACATAATACTCAAAGGTAAGAGACTTGAAGTGGGGAGGCAGGTGGAAAACTTATAATAACACACCACAAAGATTCGTGATCTTAAATAAAGCAGAAGAGGGAAGAGAGAGGATGAGACCAACTTGAGTGTTAAGAGACTTGATTTCTAGAGTTGGGTTCATATCTTATTCATTTTTGTGAACCTACTACCTCACACAATGCCTGGCATAGAGTCAGTGCTGAGAAAATATTTTTTATTTGATCATAGAATGGACTCCATCCAATTGTGTTTCACCAAATAGATAACAAGGTGAGAAATTTTATAGTTTTGATCCTTTTCCCTCATGCTCCCTGTTAGACCCAATTCTTTTTTTTTTTTTAATCTCCTACTCAGGGAGTTAGGCATTCTGCCTTCATTCCCTCGAGAAAAGGGTGCCTTAAAAGAGAGTAGGATTTAAAATGTGGTAAAGTTCATAAGTTCATATTTTCAAAAGAACCCAGGCCTATTTAGAGAAATATATGATGAATCAAAGTCAGTAAATTCTTCACAGAGATGAACAAAGACTCCCAATCCTTAAGAACAGAGAGATTTGGGGGCAGGAGGACATGGTAACCTCAAGGACAGAGAGATTCTGGGGGGCACAGTGAGTCCTTATGGTTTCTTGAGACATTAGGAGTTAGCTGAGGGTTTAGGATACTGGATATTTTTATTGGATACGTTTAGAGATAAGAAAGTAGAGGAGATCTGTGTTCTGTCCCTGCAGAATGTCTGGGGGTGGAAATGGGGTGACACAAGCTTCACCTGCTACTAGCTTGTTAAGGAAGTCTAGCTTGTCTGTCTTCCACGAGCCTCAAGGATTTCTTTGTGTCATGGCATAACATTTCAACAGCAGATGGTCTTAGGTTCCAAAACTGCTGATAACCAAATGCTGTCCCCTACTCCATCCCTAAAACCTTGACAGTCTCAGTTGTGGAAACTCTGGCTCCAGAATTCTGATTCAACTTAAGCTGAATTCAAATGAAGTCAGATTAAGTCCCTGCCACCCAGTAGCATGAAAACTCACAATATAAATTGATGTCAGTTCCAGTAAAACAAGAAAAAAAATCATTTTGTCTGCTGAGTTTTAAACATGGTATAACTAAGCTTTTTGAAATATTAATGGAAGTAGAATTAGCACTGATTGTAAGTTGGTGTATAAACACGATGTATAGGGCCATGTATAGGTTGGTGCATGATCGTCTTGTATAGGCCCCAGCGTACACGAAATGGAAATTCAAACTGAGAATCCAGTTTTCAAAGGAGTATTGAGAATTGGAGCCTGATGAGAACAGGAAGACAGTAGCAGAGGTACAATATGAAAATGGTACAAGTATCTGGGGTCCTTTGGTGGCACTTGTATTTTCTATTATTTAAAGAGGATATTGAAGATCAAAGGTAGAATTATTGTCAATCTTTATGTAGCACTTACCATTTTCCAGGAACTGTCCCAAGCACTTCATTTTGGTTAACTCTCAATTCCCACAAGAATCCAGAGCGTAGGTGAAATTATTATCACCAACGACAGGTGAAGAAATGGAGGCCCAAAGAGGTTATCTGCTCAAGTTCATGCAGCTGATAAACAGCAGAGCCGAATTCAGAGTCAGGGTTCACGACCTCTCTTTGCTCTCTGTCAGGTTCTGGATTAGTGTAATGAAGAGACATTTACAGTAAGAACCATTTAGAAACGGATGAATTCTGGTCTCAGAAGCAGGGATCTCACTGGAGTGGGTTGGGGAGGTGTCATAGGATGATATGGGGAGGTTTGAGATGCTGATGGAGGTGGACTTTAGGCAGAATGATTCTGAGGCCTCTGATCTGAACTCCCCAGTCATAATTTCCCTAATATTTTCTTTGTTAGTTAAAACATTTTTAAGTGGACTTCAATAGGCCTTTTATTCCCCTGAGGTGAGCAGTCTGTGAGATTTACCAAAGAACAATACAACAGTAAAATTCTAGCTCAGCTTAATAGCACTCATTCTGTGCATATGATCGTAGTTAGAAATATCTCATTAAAAATTGCAGACCTTTGTAATATGTGAAAATCTTTTATTATATATCTGTAGATCTAACTGAGATGACTTGAAGTTATTTTCTAATTCTTTTCTTTTATATTCTGTTTTTTTTTGTGGGGAGGGTGGGGTGCAGAGTGTGTGTTTGACTTTTATCTCCTGATGATCGACCCTTTTGGCTGATTTCTTGGGACTGGTTTCCCTGTGAGTTTTAGGATTTGTGTTTGGGAGCTCATCTTGGGTGTGTTTCACCCATCTCCTTTTCTCCTATCTGTGCTCACTCCTATCTGTCTGTCAAACCTGGGATTCTCATGGTTGATCTGGTCTTCTGTCCTATTATGATATTGGAAATGTCACATTTGGTGGCTCATGAAGACTTCTCCCTTAGGAATGTTAAAATTTATAGTACCTCTAGAATGCATTGAGAAAGTGAATCTGTCTAAATGATCAAAGACTCCAACTTGTTTTACATGTACACTGACTTTTTCAAGTGTGCAATGTGAAAGGACTGTGTTTTTTTTAGGATGAACTTTCTAAAAAATATTTACTATTTTTGAATATCACATTACTGACAATCCCACCATTTTAGCTTTTGAGTTGCCAGTACCACACACCTCATTTCTGCCTATCTTGTTTAGGTGATTGCTACCTTGAGCTACAACCATCTAACAACTTCAGTAGAACTATAGAGACTATACTGAGAATGTACATATGAAAATTATAAATTTATTTTTTTCTGTTTCTCTGTTATATTTAAGTTATGGCATTACGTTGGTTTTAAAAAGTCTATGTGTAGGTAGGTTAATTCATTACGAATTTTATTTGGCGTGAAACATGGGTTATTACAAAATATTTATTCTAAAATGTAGATTTGAAGATTTATAGAGCTTTCATTTTGCATTGAGTTTCAATAACCCCCAAACCTCAAAATGAAACCAAGCCCAAACCTCTCAATTTTAAATTCAGGGGCTTCCTTGAATCTTGACTCAAGTTTATTAAAAGAATACATGACACTTCACAAAAGTCGGTGGGAGGAAAGGTTTCTGTGGAGGGTGATGTGAAGCAAATATCATATTTCAGAGAAACCATCCTAGTAATAAAATTTTACTTTCTCAGAATATTTTCAGAAATTTTCTATTTACGTGAGTATGTTCTAAAAAGCAAATTAAACAAGGAACAAGTACTGTGATAAAACTACAATATTGATGCACATTTCCATTGGAGTTTTTTATGTAAAGTTTTTTATTTATATATGACAGCAGAATGCATTGCAATTCTTATTACATATATAGAGCACAATTTTTCATACCTCTGGTTGTATACATAGTATAGTCACACCAATTCGTGTCTTCATACATGTACTTTGGATAATAATGATCATCGCATTCCACCATCATTAATTACCCCATGTCCCCTCCCTTCCTCTTCATTGGAGTTTTTATGTCTTATCATTCTCTTGATTTTCTTATTAGATGATACAGTATCAGAGGACAAATCCTGCTTGCCGATAGCAAAGTGGGGAAAAAAAAGATGGGCTTTTTTAAACTTCAGATTGCTTTGGGCCTAGGAGCAGTTATTCAGTGGAAGTTCTTTTTACCTTTGCTCTGTCCCCACTGTGGAATATCTGTCTTTATGTCAATACTTTCAAATTCTATGTTATGGACTGGGGAGGTAGCTGAGTGGTAGGGAGCATGCTTAGCACACGTGAAGCCCTAGGTTTAGTCCCCAGCACCAAAAAAAAAAAAAAACAAGACAAAAACAAAAACAAATCCTATGTTATAATCTGAAAACAATAAATGAACAAAAATATTTTACCAAAATTAAAAACAAAACAAAACATAGAGTAATGATTCATCTTATCCATAATCAATGTTGTTAGAAAGCGATAGTGAGTTCAACAGTGTGTTAATGGTAAATGAATCATTATAGATAAAACAGATATTCCAAAAACAGACTCTAGTGTATGAAAAATTATGATAAAAATAATTAGAATTGGGTAGAAAAGGATTATTTCATACAATAGATAAGGTTTCTAGGAAAAATTAGATCCTTACTATATATTATGCCATGAAATAAATTTAGGAGAATTGAAAATATTTTTTAAGTGTAAAAATAGCAAAAAAAAAAAAAAAAAAAAAAAAAAAAAAAAACCATAGAGGATTAGTGCTGTGATGTTAAAAAGGGAAATAGTTTTATAAGCAAAAATAGAAAGTTAAACCAATAGAAGAAATCATGAAGGAATAAATTGATCAAATAAACTACCTTAAATTTGTTTTTTTTTAATTTATTGATTTTACTTTTTAAAAATACATTAAATTTGTTTTTAATAATACTAACAGTAGCACCAACTTTATTAGGGCTTACACTTTGCTAGTGAGTGGGCTCCAACATTCTGAACCTGTATCTCCAACATAGAAAAGTGACTGCCGCATACAGATGTCTGAGTTGTGTGCTATACAAGGGCAAGATAACAAGAGAGTGCCATTCACATTGTAAACATGTTTATTATTTTGAAAAAAAATCTTTTTTTAATGATACCTTTTTGGTTTCAACGATTAGTTTATTCGTATATTTATGATGACAATTCTCGAGCAATCAGTTAAAGTGTATTTCTTAACAGTACATAGATATTGCTTTGCTTTGATTTGTAAGGAAAGGAACAAGTTCAACAAACAAAAGACTTTGTGCATTTACCGTAAATAATATTTCTAATGTTGCAAATTGTTTTTCATTGATGTGTGTTTAAAAAACATTTTTAATGAAAACAATAAAAAATTCTCTATTGGCAAAATTTAGCTAAATTTTGGTTTTCATTTTTGCATATCATAGCATTATCATTTGTTTATTTTACCAAGATGATGTCGTAAAGTTTTCACTTAAAGTATAATAATATTTTCACATGACATGAGTCCATGTATAAGTAGCATTCATTTATTGTTACCACAAAATAACCTTCTAATTATAGCAATTACTTATTGGTTGCTGTGAAAGTTTAATTACAAAATTTTAATTGATGCTAAAGTTTAATGGCTCATTAGAGAAATATAGTTTTAAAATATTACTACACGTTAAGGTCAATGTACAAAGCAAACACATTATATTTACCCAGATATTCAAAAGTTAAGAAAACAATATATTGGACTGGGGTTGTGGCTCAGTGGTAGAGCACTTGCCTCATACATGTGAGGTACTGGGTTTGATCCTCAGCTCCACATAAAAATAAATAAATAAAGATATTGTGTCTATCTACAATTAAAAAATTAAAAAAAGAAAACAATATGTCGTGATCAGAAAAATTCAAAATGAGAAATCACTAACCCGTAAAATGAAAGAAATTATTTAGATCATTGAATACCCACTGTTAACAAGAAAACGAGACAGCTATTCTCAGCAAGATCTCATAGACACATCCTAGAGGAGGTCACAGGTGAATTTAACCTCTACTTAGCTGCCTGTGAGAGTGGATACATTCCTTTAAAATTTGGAGAAAACCCATGTAGAATCTATTAAATGAAAAAAGCTTTCTGCTAACTAGTTACATGACTATAAAGTTTGAATATTAAATAGTGTCTCAAATGTCCATCTCAATTAAGACAACTTTAACTTCCAGAAAAAAACACAACTAGAATGTTTTTGTAAGAAATTTCTAACACTAGAATTCTGAAAGAGGGTGAAAAAAAATTTAACTCCTGCTTATTTTTTTTAAAGCCTAAAACATTCTTTCTTTAAAAAAAATTGTTAATTTTGCAAACTCATGATGCCAAAGTAAATGAGTAAAGAGAATGGATGGTGCAAAGACTAGTAGATTTTATTACCCAATCATGGTGAAAGAGGAACAAAGTAAAAATATACCACAAACATTTTATTAAGTGTTTAAAGTTGAAATCTATTTCGAAAAAAATCAATTTTTTAGACACTTATCCAATTTTGAGGAATAGTTTAAATAAAGCTACTACAATTTATAACTCTGTTTTTTTTCTTTTTTTAAGGCACACACTGAAATCTTCAGTAAAGGAAGGAAGATAGGAGGAGAGCACCATCAATTCTTCCTGTTTTAGAGTCCTCAGTCTTTTCTCAGGATATGTCCTATACCAGGTAAAGTCTGCATCTGTATATATTGGTAGTTTAACTTCTATTTTTCTAAAGAAAAAATACATTTAAAAAGACAACTGAATATAAATAAATGAATATAAAAAAGACATTTCAATAGTTTTCTATTTTCTCTAGCGAACCACATGTAAACCATCAGGAATATGTGTCTTGTCCCAAATGGAACCAAACTAGAAAAGGCATGAGGACGCTGAGCTGCCAAAAAGACGATCAGTATTCATTTTGCTTTCGTATTATATATAATCATCACTGAATATGTCAATGGAAAAACCCAAGAGATTTAACTACTTGAAAATTCAAAAATTTAGGATAACTTTTGCATGCAAAAATGTAATGACCTGAGATAAATATTTACAACAAATATAATAGAAAATAGGTTAGTGATTTTTAAAACAATTTACAAACAATATGCAAATATATCTTAAAAATATAATTTAAACCTGCCAGAGAAATTTAAAAAAAAATCACAAGATACAAACAAATGATTCATAGAACTACAAATGACTAGCAAACATTTTTTTAAAAATCTCACATGTTATCAAAGAAATGCAAAATTAAAACAACAGTAAGATTGTCATTATCCTTCTATGGCTTGTCTGTGGTAAATGGTTTGCAAAGATCATTCCTCCATTGCTACGAATTCATGTCACATCTCTTCTCAAGAAGTGCCATTTCTCCTTCTCCTGTGATTTGCTTTGAGCAGTAGAATGGGGTAGAAGTGATGTTGTACCTCTGCTTGGCTTGGTTTTTGAGAAGCCTAGCAGCTTAAGTTTTCTGTCCTTTTGAATTGAACTGCCAGGCTGATAGGAGGACCTGATAGAAAAAGAGGTCACCGGGAGCAGAGCAAAGGCCATCTGACAGCCAAATCCCATGCTCCAGACATGTGAATGATGCCTTCCTGGACCTTCAAACCCAAGCAGCTTCCTGCAGTCCATGAGTGGCTCCAACAGATTCCACATGTGCAGAAGAACAGCCAAGACAACTCAAAGACTCATGAGAAATCATGAATTGTTGCAGTTTTAGAAGCCACTAAGCCTTGGGTGATTTAGTAGGCTTCAACAGATAATTAACACATTGTCAAAGATTTCAAAATCACATGGCTTGGGTTGTGGCTCAGCGGTAGAGCACTTGCCTCACACGTGTGAGACACTGGGTTCGATCCTCAGCACCACATAAAAATAAATAAATAAATAAGAGAAAGATATTGTGTAAAAAAATGCTTCATTTAAAAAAAAATTTCAAAATCAAAATGTTCAACTTCCTGTAGGTGCAGAGAGAGAAGTATTTCCACATATTGCTGGTGTGCATACAAATTTATAAAGCTTGATAATGTGGTAGTTTTAATTTTTTGAGGAAACGCTACACTGTTTTCAATAGTAGCTGTACTGTTGTACATCCCCACCATTATGCACAAGGATTTAAGTTTCTCCCCAACACTGTCAACACTTCCTGCTCACCCTTCCTCCTTTTGGTGAGAATAGCCCTCCTAATGAACATGAAGTGACATCTCATTTTGGTTTTGGTTTGTATTTCTATAATGATTAATTATGTTCAGCATCCATTCATATGCATGTTGTCCATTGCTGCATCTATTCAAATACTTTATCCAAAAGAACTGAAAGTAGAGTCTCAAAGAAATATTTGTACACCTATATTCATAGCAGCATCATTCACAACAGCCAAGAGATGTAAACAACCTAGATATTAATCAACAAAAAATACATAAATAAATTGTATATATGGTATATACATACAATGGAATCATATTCAGCTTTAAAAGGGAAAGAAATCCTATCATATGCTAGAGCAGAGGTGAACCTGGAGGACATCACACTAAGTAAAATAAGCCAGGCACAGAAAGACAAATGCTATATAATTCCTCTCATGTGGGCTATCTAAAGTGATTAAATTCATAGAAATAGAAAGTAGAATGGTGGTTACCAGGGGTTGGGAAGAAGGAGAAATGGAAGCTGTCATTTAATGGGCATAGAGTTTCAATTTTGTAAGATAAGAAAGTTCTAGTTTTTTTTGGTACCGGGGCATGAACTCAGGGGAACTCAGTCACTGAGCCACATCCCAGCCCTTTTTTTTTTTTTTTTGTATTTTACTTAGAGACAGGCTCTCGCTGAGTTGCTTAGTGCCTCACTTTTGCTGAGGCTGGCTTTGAACTCGTGATCCTTCTGTCTCAGCCTCTTGAGCCACTGAGATTAGGCACCTGGCAAGACAAGAAAGTTCTGGAGACTTGTTTCACAACAGTGGGAATATAATCAACACTATTGAATCAAACCCTGTAAAAGAGTTAAGATGATGAAAAATTTTGTCATTTTTACTACAACTAAATTTTTTTTATTTATAAAGTTCATTTTTTCAAAAGTCAACTGAACAAAAAATATGAGCACTAAAATAAAATTTATAATCTAAATCCAGGAACTAATAGCACAGATATTTATAAGGATATTCATTACACTGTTGTTTTTAGTAGCAAGTTATTGATTTATTATCAAAATATCCAGCTACAAAATTAGGATTGTTCATGTGAATTGAGGGATATTTATATAACAGATAACTTCAATAATGTGAAATAAATGTTTATCATAAAATTCTAAGTGAATAAGGCAATTAAAAATTATATATATACACACACACAATCATACACAGGTATATGTATTTCTGTTATTTATATGATCTAATCATACACAGATGTGTTTATCTACATAGGCATGGGCATATGTGTTTTTTACATGCATGGATCCAGTTTCATGAATAAATTTGACTTAGTAGTTTATATGATAAAGTAACTTTATTCTTTCGCATAACTGCTTTTTCGAAAAGGCTCTAGAGATTCTTTCTTCATATCCCAAAATGAACTTGTGAGCAGAACCATCAGCTCATCTGGTGATTTGAAGACTTGAGACAATCTGATCCAGGCTACCATCAAAACCTCAACCTTACCTAGCAGCAGCTTCTCTCCCGACCTAGCTTAGGAGAACTCTAAGGGCAGTGCAGGAGCTAGTACTGTCTTTATAACTGTCCACTTTGCTCTCCTCACCTTCCCTCTCACTCATGCAGCTACCTCAGGAAGGTAGGGAGGAAAGGAAAGAGCAGAAAAGATCACTGGCATCATCTCTTTGGAGGAAACAAGTGTTCAAATGCTGATTTTCAGGGGGTGTCTGGCTTACAGACCACCTCCCTGTTCCTACACACTTCTCTCTTTGTGGACCTCCCTCTTAATTTTTTTGCTGATGAGCTGATGCCTTCTTTGCTTAATTCCCTACCACTCCCCTCTGGGTCTTCACTCTTCATGTTCTATTCCTATTTTATGTGGTTCCTTTCAAGATGATTCAAGGCATGGTCCCCTTTACCCACAGAAAAGCAAGAATCCTTGACCCTCTGAGCTCTCAAAGTGCAGGTACTTTCTAACTCAGGCTACTTTTCTTTGTCTCAGCTGCCTCTGACTGCTGCAGTTAGACCCACTTCTTTTCAGAGTTTTTCCAAAAATGGGTCAAAGGCTAATACTTTTGTCCATCAAAGTGTGGAGGACCCTGGGCAAGCTATTTGCTTGAATCCTCTTACTAGGGCCAAAGTGAGAATGAAGCACCCCTCCCACAGATATAGGGTAGAGTGCTATGTCTGGTAAGAAAGGACTTCTCAGCTTTATCATTATTGGCATTTGGGGCCAGATAATCCTTTGTTGTGGTGATTGTCCTACACATTAGGACTATTCTGTAATGGAATCATTGGTAGTTTTTTCTTTATTATAACTTTAACATTTTATATAATGAATTTGTAGTACATGTTTAAAAACATTTTTTTAAAAAAGTTAAGGCCAGATAAATCCAACCAATGTTCAACACCTGACTCAAAGGCAATGATGTCTTTAAAGATTATTAAACTAGAAATACTTTGTCTGCAACAATGACAATCAATTTTGATTGAGTGATATAAGCCTGTGCATGTGTTATTTTACTTAATCTTCATAGTCACTCCATTAAGTGGGGATTTTGCCATTTTTATTTTGCAGATGAAGAAACTAAGCCTAGAGAAGTAAATAAGTTGCCTAATAATACTTACAAAGCTGGTTAATGACAGAGCTTTCATTGAAACATGAATGAATTTCTTCAGTCCATCTCTGCCCTCCATTGTTCTAGTCACCAGGCATCTAGCTCTTAGTGATGTTTATAGTGAACTTAAATATTTTTAAGACAATTTTTGTTTATCTGCATAATATTCTTCAGGGAAGATGCTATTGATCTTCTTGGAGGGCACAAGACAGGTAGATTGTTGAAATCATGCTTAGGTAGAACAAGATGGTAGAAACTTACTTAATAAATATAAGACTATCTCACAGTTTCCATCATAATCATACAGCATCATTTTTTAATGGCAATGTAAGAAGTCATGAAGTTTATCTGATATGTGAACACTGACCTGAAGGTATATATTTTCAGGAATGATCAACTGCCTAAATATTACGGACTTTTATATTCAAGCAAAAGGAGAGGTAATGAACATGTACATAAAGAAAGATGTTGTTAGACATACTAAAGTGATTCTAGGACAAAGTAATCATGTAAATTCAGCAACTTCTGTGTAGCAAATGACCTCGAGTACATATTCAATATAATGGTGATGTTAGAGCCCATCTTGATTAAAAAGGAGGGGTTACAGCTGAGGAGGCGTGGGGCTGAAGGGGACTCTTGCTGCAACAGTAGGTTTAGACAAACAAGAGGAAATTGGATTCTACAAGGTGGCGGAGTGATGAACCCCATCACTGGGCTTAGGTTCTGGTGGTTCAACAACTGGCAGAGGAGAATGAGTGGGCTGCAAGTTTCACCCCTGTGTGTAGGACTAGTATAAACAGGGACTGATAAGTGTGCCATGGGAAAGTACTTCAATTTTATCACTGTGGCCAAAATAGGTACATCTAGTCTTTTTTGTTTCAAAGACAATGAGAAAAACAAAGCTAATGGTTAAATTCAAAGAAGGAGATTTTATTCCATGCATCAAAAACATCAGCACAGCTAGAGGCTTATTGGAAATGAGAATGTTTGGTTCATAGCCCAGACACCATTAATCTGAATCCATGGAGTTAGGACCCAGGAATTTGCATTTTAACCTATTCTCTAGGTGATTCGTATGCAAGCTCACATTTGAGATGTCCTGGTCTATATCACCTTCTCCACATTTACCACCCTCACAACAGAAAATGCCCACTCAAGAATCCACATAAGATGAAAGTCCCCAATGTTCCTAATATTTTGCAGACTGGAGCCACAGGACACATACAGATATGGACTCCTTGAAATGTGGCAGGCCCAAATAAAGATGTGCTGTAAGTGTAAAACATGCTCTGGATTTCAAAGACTGAGAATAAGAAAGGACCACAAAGTATCTCATTAACAATTTTTATATTGATTACATATTAAAATGATAATATTTCAGGTATATTGGGATAAGTATATCATTGAAATTGATTTTCCCTGTCTCTTTTTACAGTTTTAAATTTAAAATTTAAATTACTTGCTACCACATTACATGTGATAGAGCCAGAATTCAACTTGGGGCCATCTAACTCCAAAGCACATGGTTTTATGTAGCTCTCTATACTTTTCTCTCTTATTATATAATGTATTGAAAAAACATTATTTATTTTCAATGACATTTCTGTATAAAATGATGAGTGTAATATTAAAGTCTATTTCAAATGGGAGCTGATTGTCAGTAAAAATAATAACAGTAGCAACCCCAGATGTAATGTGTGAATCCAGGGGTACTCAAGATGTAAAGCCCTTCAGGATGCTTGAGACAATCTTCCTCAGCTTTGCATCTGATGCACCTTTCCAGTTGATCCCGACCATAAAGCTGGTCAAATGGCTAGGAAAACTCTGAAAACTTGGTTCATGGCTTGTAAATCAGAAACGAACCCAGGAAAAAGCAGCAACTTCATAATTCTGTGAAATCACTGTTACTGTCCTACCAGCTTCAAGGACCTGAGCCAATCTAGGTCACAGAGAGACTATGAAAGGTAAGGTGGATTTTTTTTTTATAGGCAAGTCTATTTCTTAGAAGATCTGTGATAAACAATCTATGTGATGATCAAAATGACACTTTTTTTAAACAGTAAGCAGATGCATCATCCATCTTTGTTTCAGTGCCTAGAAATGGAGCCAAGAAGCTTACTGCTGTTTTGTTCTTTTGTTGGTGTCGATAGAAGGCATTACCAGGGTAAGCCTCTGAATCAAGAAGATGCAGAGCAACAGAGACTTCTAGAAATAATCAGCAGCTTATTTGGATAAGTCTTCAAAGATGAGTGCAGCATGTTTTCCTATTTTCCATGAAGTAATTGAATGAAGTATAAGAATGTAGAACTGGGTATAAAAGAGGCAAAAAGAAGGAGAAAATCAGAGGCTGCAATGGCAGTGATGTACTTCATAGCCCCTAAATCTAGAAGCCTCTTCACCAACTGGGATAAACTTGATCTCTATGGCCAGTAGCAACATTTTTGTTGTTGTTGTTAGTTCCATATTGAACATTTTTGGTTAATTATAGTGCTAACAAAATTTGTCACCAATAACCAACTTAAATTGACCACTGCCACTTAAGGCCAAGGTATTCACAACTTTAATGATGGTCTGCATAGGGACTGCAGAATGATCCCAGTGGTTTTTGGGTCAAGTCTCCTGTGGATTTTAGAACCAACTGGACCTTTTCCACCTTTCGAGGATATGTACAGGTAGACCACAGAGCTTCATCAGTGGAGACTTCTAGGATGGTGTATGCTTGCTTCACAGTGTTTATTGTTTCCAACAGCCTCAGATTTCTCAAGTTGTGAGTTCCTGGACAAGATATTTCAAACCAAAGAAAATGTTGTGGAGACTCACCCAGTGGGGGTGGGAAATGACAGTAGTACATGTCCATAAAGCATTTTGCAGCTGATCCTCAAGTGACTTCATGGAAGCTGCTTCTCTCTCTCTCTCTCCCCCCCACCCCTTACCTCCCTCCCTCCCTCAAATCTTTAAGAAAGCCAAATTTCAGTTGCCCCTTAGAATTCCCAGAGCTTGAATGTGCCAACCCCTATATTTTCATGACTCTCTCA